CCCCCCCCCCCCCCCCCCCCGTGACTTGGGTGTTTAAAGAGGGGGAGGGCGCTGTCTCCCCCCCATCTCCTGACCTCTCCCACATTTGACTCTGGGCCCTGCAGGCCCTTTCCCACTCCCTCTGGGTTTGGCTGCTCAGGGGAGTCTCTGGGGGCTCTTCAGGTCACTGTGTCTTCCCCACATGAGCCAGTCGTGCTACGCTTCGGCCTGGGCTTCAGGCGACTCTAAAGTTTGCCGGGTGATCCCAATGTGCAGCCAAGGCTGAGGACCACGGCCTGGAGGCTCTGTGGAGGTCTGGTCCCACCTCGGGGTGGCCTGAGCTGGCACCCCGCACACGCTGGCACCCTCCACCAGTCCCACACCGGCATCTGTAAGGGCAGCACCCCGCCGGGTAACTCAGGCAGGTGCCCTCACTCTGCACGTAGGCTCGATTTAAAATCAAACGAAACTTAAATGCAAGGAGGCTACCCTGTTAAATGTCTGGCCCTCTGTCCGAGCACATCTTTCCCATCCACCAAGCTCTCTTTTCTTTTTTTTTTTTTTTTTCCTTTTTGTTTTTTTTCGTGACTGGCAACGGATCGCAACCCTCAGTGTCGCACCCGTACCGGACCGGGACCAGCAACGGGATCGCAACCCTTGGTGTTGCTCCCGCCCCCCACTCAGCCAGTGAGCGGGAACCGGTCTGTATGTGGGATCCGAACCCTCGGCGGGAGCGCCGCCGCGCTTCCCAAACGGCGCACTGTAGCAGTGCACCACCGGGCCGGCCCCCACCAAGCTCTCTTTTCAATGTGGGCTTTATCATTCAGCAGACCAGCTGTCCCTGCAGATTTGGCCAATTATCAGAGCCGATTAGCATGCTTCTTGATCTTCATGGAGATCACTGATGAAAACATAAAAGGGGCCACAGCCCACGCCTGAGACCTCTCGCAGCGTGGTGGCCCAGCCCAGCATGACCTCTCCTGAGCACGTCAGTGCCTGGCCCGCATGTCCGTGAGGTGACGGGCAGCTCTGCCAAACACCTGGCTGGAATCAGAGTGCCTCATGCTCAGGGGATTTTCCACTTGGTTTTCAAAGTGTTCACAAACCATCTGATTTGACATTCCAGGAAGCTGCAGGACATCAGTCCCAAGATAACTGGTCATCGAGGTAGGAACCTTACCATAAAGTCATAGAATGTTAGAGCCAGAAGGTTCCTGAGAGATGGTCTAGACCAGTGGTTTTCAAACTGTTTTGGAAACCCCAAGAGTAGCTCAGGGCCACAAGAGCAGTCACACTAGGTGTGTCTCCTGCTTCAATCCAAACAGCTCTGCCTTCTGAGTTTAAGGTATGGGGCTCCTCTACGAGATTTCCATTGATAAGAGCATGCTGCTGCTTTAAAAAGGCTCAAAAACATCCAATCCCTTAATTTCACAGGTAAGGAAACTGAGGCTCAGAGAGGGAATATGGCTTCCCAAGGTCACACAGCAAGAGGTGGAGCTATGTCTGGAATCCAGGCCCTCTGACTCCTGAGCAAGATTTCCTCCAGTTCCTGGGGACCAGGAAACATTATGACACCATTTTGGGCTGATATCTCTTGAGCCTTGGTGGTCTTTGAAGTGCCAGGCTGGGTATGTGAGGCAGGTGCCTGGTGCTGTCAGCCTGGGGTACGAGCCCTTCCTCAAGGCTTTGGCACACCTGGAGGACTTGAGAAGCTTGGTGCCCAGCACTGGCCGGCAGAGGGAGCTCTCCCCCGAGGCTTGGGCAATGCAGGGCCGGCTCAGTGGACCACAGGGGAGAAAGCTGGGCAAGGGGTGAGATCCACGGCCGTGGCCAGGTGAAGCACCCTTTCAGGGATACCGGGAGCCACTCACAGTGAGCCATGGTGGGGATGCGAGTGGGGAGCAGGTGTCTGTAGGCCTGCAAGTGCTAGCCAGGGCCCCATGGCCTGGCCTCTTCGACATTAGAGTTACACAGCAGTGCTGTTCCCTTGACCTGAGGCTCGGGGCACGTGCTGTCCCACTGCCCTCAGCCTCCCCGCCCTTGTCTGCGGTTTCTACAGGTTCTCAAGGCCAGAGAGGTCAGGAAGAAATGCACAGATGTATACCAGGCCTGCTCAGTGTCCACGCTGAGCAGGGCCCCTCAACACCTGGCACAGGTAGCAGGTTTCCGGAAGCATTTGCTGGGTCAGGAGCTGGAGCACAGAGCCACCCCTTCCCCAGTGCCAGGGGCAACACCTCTGGGGCTTGGCATTTGGGACAGAAGAGGGGCTATGCCAGTGCCTCCTGGGCCCCCTAACCCTGCAGGTAGATGAGGATGAAGGGGCAGGCTGGTCTGGCCAGGGAACAACTGGGGATTTTTTGAGACACAATGTGCCCATGTAGAAATGATAAAAATGATGGGTGTCATTTACTGAACACCTGCTATCTGCTCAGCAACCAGCCAAGTGATTTACATGTATATTGCTAATTCTCACAATCAGCCACCAAATGAGGTATAATTAGCCCCATTTTACAAATGAGTAACTGAGGCTCAGGGATGAAATAATTGGCCCTAGGTCACACAGCTCATAGGTGACCAAACCAAGATGGGCCTCCCTGGGGACCGTCTTCCCAGCACGCTGGCTGCAGCTGGGTCCTCCAGACCCACACACTGGGGTAGGCTGGCATGATCATCTGGAAAGAACCCTACACTGGAAGTCTCCCCAAGTCAGCCAAGCCACCATCTCCTGCTTCTCTTTTTCTCAAACCTCTGTGTCTGGGTAGGGAATTTGGGACAACAGAGGACCAAAGCCAGAAGACCTGGGTGCCAGTTCAGGCCATGAGACCCTGGGTAAGATGGCTTTCTGGGTCCCAGGTTGTGTGGGGATCTGGTGAGAGGAAGTATCTGAAAATACTCAGAAGTCGACAGATCACTGGATAAAGATAGCTTCCACGTATGGAGGCCTTCGTGCGTGCCAGTGCTGTAAGTGGGTCACACGCATCACCTCGTTCTTATTTAGACCTTACAAAGTAGGGGAAGTTATCCACATCTTGCAGATGAAGAAGTTGAGGGACATTAAGTAACTGCTCAAGGTCACCCAGGAGCAGACAGCCAGGATGGGACCCGGGTCCTCTGACGGGAAGCCTCTGCAGGACTGCACGGCTACCGAGCTCCTTCTAGACCAGCCCACATGCAGCTCCTGCTGGGCCGCAGCAAGAGGGGCAAGAGGGACAAGAGGGACAAGAGGGGTCAAGAGGGGTCAAGAGGGACGCTGACTTCCCAGATGGCAGCTGGGGGAGGGCGTGGAGGGGAAAAACAGGAGCAAAGGGCATTGCTCATCACAGCAGGGAGCTGGGCGTGCACAGGGGAGTGTGTGCACACACGCACACGTGCAAAGGAACGAGTGCAGGCCAAGACACACACACACACACACATGCACACACACACACACGCACACATACACACACGCACGCACATGCACACACATGCACACACACATGAAGGAACGAGTGCAGGCCCAGGCACACACACACACAAGCACGCACATGCACACACACACGCACACATGCACACACACATGCACACATGCACACACACACACACACACATGAAGGAACGAGTGCAGGCCCAGGCACACACACACACACACACGCACATGCACACACACATGAAGGAATGAGTGTAGGCTGAGACACACACACGCACACACACATGCACACACATGCACACACACATGAAGGAACGAGTGCAGGCCCAGGCACACACACACACATGCACACACATGCACACACACATGAAGGAATGAGTGTAGGCTGAGACACACACACGCACACACACATGCACACACACACACACACACATGAAGGAACGAGTGCAGGCCCAGGCACACACACACACGCACACGCACGCACATGCACACACACATGCACACACACATGAAGGAACGAGTGCAGGCCCAGGCACACACACACACACACACGCACATGCACACACACATGAAGGAACGAGTGCAGGCCCAGGCACACACACACACACACACGCACATGCACACACACATGAAGGAATGAGTGTAGGCCGAGACACACACACACACACATGCGAAGGAACGAGTGCAGGCCAAGGCGCACACACACAAGCACATCTAAACACATATCTGTGCGCACAACCCCACGTGCACACACATGGGGCATGCACATACTTGAGCCCACACTCACACTCCTACCAGCTCCCTGTTCCTCACAAGCTCAAGTTGTCCTCCAGGCACTTTCCTTCACGTTCTCTGGGGAAGAGATTAGCCATGTGATTCATCCTTGGTGGCAAAGGGAAGGGAGAGAAGGGAGTAGAGGGCAGGGCAGGGCCTGGTGTGTAAAGGCTCAGTTGTGTCAACCCAGTTATGCAAGATCTGAGCCAACGGACAGGGGCTCAGAGCTCTTCCGCCCGGCCCCCCTCCCCCCCTACTCCCACTCACCTGCAGGCAAGCCACGCTGATGCCCACCACCCCCATGAGCAGCAGGTGGTTGGCCAGGAACTGCTCCAGCTTGGTGAGGCAGCCTCCCTGCAAGGCAACCGTGGGTTAACACACCCCGGCGGGGAGCAATGGGGAGTGGGGGCCAAGCTGGCTGTGGGGCTGCACCTGCTGAGGTGGAGCGAGGGCTGGAGGATGAGGAGGCCTAGACCCAACCTGAACCACTCATGGGCTTCTCCAGTGAGCCTGGGGGCCTGCCATGGTGTCCTAGAATCTCCCAGCAGGGGCTGCTTGTCCCAGGGCTCCGTAGAGATGCTGGAAGGCCCAGGAACTGTGATCTCACGGCCAAGGAGCGAGTGCGTCTGCCTGTGCCACCCCATCTGCCGAGCCAGCCTCCCCATGCTGCCACTGGAGCTCGGGCGCTCACCTCCACCTTGTAGATGTTGGAGGGGTGGGCCCGCTGGCCGCAGCGAGCCACCACCGTCTTGCAGCAGCTGTCAGGCACCCGGCGGCCCTCGGCCTCCTGCGACAGGATGTATGTGCTGTGCTGCCAGTCAGCCGAGCTATTGCTCCCGCAGCACTTGAACTGAAAGGGGAGGCAGAGTCTGGAGGTGAGAGGAGCCTGTGTGGGGGCTCCCCGCCCCCAGGGGCCAGGTCTGTAGGGCACATTATTCAAGAATTAACCCAGCCCTATTTGTTTCCCTGTGAGTTTTCCTTTCCCGTTTTGAGCTGGTCCCTCTAGGGCCCTTCTCCTCCAGGCCGGTGCAGAAGGTGCCTGCAGGACACCTGTTTGCTACCTTTTGTAGCTGTTCAAGTCTTTCAAGGGGATTAGGCTGGTGTCTTGGAGCAGAGAGGAGCTGAGACGGGTGGGAAGAAGGAAGGTCCCACAGAGGGTGGGGCTGTCTGCGCACTGCTGGATGGCAGAGCCCACGACCTGGCTAAACCACATGGTGGTTTCCCCGTCATCCTGGAGGAACAGGGGACGGGGACCCAGCGTTGCCAGAGATGCTCAGCCCCTGTGCAGGCTCTGAAGCCTCAGAGCCCCAGACCTGCAGGGACACACAAGGTGCCCCAGAGCCCATGGTGTGGGCAGATCAGCATTGACCACAGGAACTGGCTCGTGTGCTGAGTAAGACTGGGGTCGCCTGCACCAGCCCAGGTCTGTGATTCAAAGGAACTGGTCACTTCTTGCCCTTCTGAGTCAGGGCACTGAGATTCAAAGTCCCTACACAGGCCGGAGAAGACAGCTGCTTTGAGGCTGCCTCTGGTGTGTGGGGAGTTCAGCTAACAAGCATTCATTAGGCCCCTACTATGTGCATGAGTAAGGTAAGGGGCCTCAAGTCGCTTATGAACTGCTGTCATTTAGTAGGAGAGATGCTAGGAGCTTGCATGGGACACAGAGGAGGAAGGGGTTAATGTTCCATTCAGGGCCAGGAAGGGTCCAACAGGATGCATAGGGTTTCCCAGGAGTCAAGGAGAACGTGACAGAGCAGGGAGTAGCCTGGCGTGTGCTAGGAGGCACGAGGGAGATGCGCATCTGTGTGCCCGCATGTCTGTGCTGGTCGTGTGCTGTTGCTGTGTCACTTATGAAATGGGACAGCAGGAGTGCCTCCACACCGGCACGTCGTGAGGACCGAAAGAGGCAAGCCACGTACTGCTCTTAGGAAAGAGCCTGGCACAGGGTTGGCAGTTATTACAAGACGCCTGCCATCGTGGTCACCGCTGTGCGAGTACAGCACGTGTGTCATTTACATGCATGCGCAGCTGCTGGAGGATGCTGGCCCTGGCTCTGCAACCACAGCTTTCCCGGGGCTCGTCCCTCCTGCGTGAGATGCAGGCCCAGGTTCTAACTGTTCTGGGCCGTGTGCGGGCCTGTGTCCACATGCACTGAGTCCACGCAGGTCTCCTGGGTGCTGCCTGCCCTGCCTGGCCACTCCCATCCTCTCTGCCTGGGTGAACCTGTCCCTGCTTCTCCACTGCCTCCAGTTGGGCCCCCATGAAGTCCTCCACTTCCCCCACTCTCTACTCTGAGGGTGCCCCAGCCTCGCACTCGCTGAAGTCGAGTAACCCCAAGGGCAGGATCTGTCCTATCCCTCTTCTCACCCAGTCGCTCACAGGGGAGGCCCAGCAAGTGTGAACTTTTGGGCAGAGCTGACCAACAATGTGGGCTGCCCCATTCTGGGCCCTGGGCCGAGCACCTGGGCATGGGTGTGCACCTGTGTATGTACATGTGCCTTGGCCACTGTTTCAGAGGAGGCGCCCCTCTGTGCAGTGCCGACTGGGAGCTGGGCCTGAGTCCTGGGGAGATGGGGTGGGGTTTCCTAACTGAACCACGATGCCCCTGGAGCTCAGGGAGCACCCACCCCCGCTCCCTCTACTTGCCTGGCATTCCCAGGGCCAAGACCAAGGCCTCAGGCCAGAGTGGGGCAGGGCAAGGTGGCAGGGAGAAGGGTCCTGGAGCAGTAGAACTTTCTGCAATGAAGGAAATGTCCTATATCTGTTCTGTCCAATTTGGTGGCCACTAGCCACACGTGGCTAATGTGACCAAGGAACTGAATTTTGTATTTAACTTCAAATGTAAATAGCCATATGTGGCTAGTGGCCATCACACTGGACAGCACAGATCTGAGGTCCATTTGCCTGTCCCCTATATCTGCTGTATCTCTTCTTGGAAAGGACAGGCCACCTTTCTGTCCCCAGCATTTTGCCCGATGGCTCAGAGCTGGGAAGCTCTTGCAGCGGCTTAACTGAGATACCTCTGTGTTCAGCCCACTCTCATGGCTTCCTGCCCACAGGGGACCCAGAACAGGGAGGCAGGAGGGGTGGGGCTTGAGCAGGTAGTCGGGGAGGGTTAGGGTTTGGGTTAGGGGTTAGGGGCTAGGGGTTAGTTTTAGGGTTAGGGTTAGGGTTAGGGTTAGGAGGCGAAGGCAGAGGAGGAAGGAGGAAGGCAACCAGGATTTCGGGAAGCACTGCGATCATTTTTAATGCTCACACACCGTATGAGGCTTCATCTTAGGGATGTGTCCTCTGAAACTCAGAGAGTGTAAGTAACTTGCTCAGGGTCACATGGACAGGCAAGGACAGAATCAGGATGTGAACCCACGTCTGCTGGCCTTCAAGCCTGTAGGGTGTGCTTACATCTTGCTGTAGACGGTCTACGGAGGCTGTGATCTCCGTGGCTCTGGGCTGCCCGTAGTTCTCAATCAGAGTCCAGTTCAAGTGCTGCTTCAGCTCGTCACTCAGCTGGGGAAGGTGGAGAACAAAGGTGGCATCAGCAGGACCACCCACCTGGAGCTGGTCCCCAGGCTCGCTCCAGAGCCAGCTCACTGTAGAATGCTGCAGGCTGTGAAGGGTGCCATGGCCAAGGTCCCCAAACAGTGCAATGGGGCCATTTGTGGGAGGCAGTGCAGAGGACGTGCACGGACAGGATGCGGCCCACACCGGGCTCTAACATAGGGGCAGCACTGGGAGACAGGCAGGGCAGGAGGCAGCTAAGCAGGGTGGTGGCCAGAGCTGATGGTGAGGCCGGACACAGCGATGCTTTCAAGTATCTGCTGATTTTAACTTTAACTACAGGTGGCATTCAAAATAAGTGCAATCGTTACCTTGCAGGCACCATATGGATGCCGGACTGGTCGTGACCTCAAACCCGATTCAGAGGGTGCCAGGGTGGGAGGGGGCAGGACTGGTCACTCCACCCTGTGCAGTCCAGGCAGGCCTGAGCCTGTGTTTACAGCCTGGCATTCAACCCTGGCTGACGCCTTTCTCCTTGGAGGGCTTTGGCAGATGGATCCACCCTTTTCCTATCCTTGGATGGAGAGAGGGATAAGCCAGCCTCCCAGGGGATGCTCCCGCTCCCCAACTCCCCTGAGGACAGCAGCATCAACAGATGGAGCAGAGAACTGCTGGAACCAGGACGAGGAGCTGGGGCCCAGATGTGCAGAGGCTGTCGGGGCCTGGGAAACAGGACCACGTCTGTGTCTGCTGCAGTGTCCCCAGCACAACTGACGCAGAATGTAGGAGGAAACGTCCACTCACCCTCTGGTAGTACACGTGGGCCAGGACTCCCGCCACCAGCTCAACAAGGAAGATGACAAACAACAGGCAGAAATACTAGAAGCAAAAAGAGAAGACCGTCACCTTTGGGAATCAGGGCACTCCCATGACACGTTTCCCCAAAGCACTGGGGGTGGCAGAGACATCTGCCAGGGGCCTCTGCTGGCTGCTGGCACTGAGTTCCCTACTCACCCCCTCATGCATCGGTCTGCTGGCAACTCAGTAATACGTCCACCCAGCCAATGTTTATGAAAGGCCTATTTGCCAGGTGCCAGGTGTCATAGTAAGATGGTTGTTGCCCTCAAAATTATTGGTGGCAGGGGACAGATAGTAAGTGATCATAATGTTGTGTTACAAATACTTCTATGGGGTAAGTCCTAGAAACAGCAGCAGTCTCCTGGTGGGGTGGGCAGTCAGAGAAGGCTTCCTGGAGGCGGTGACACCTGAGTGGTGTCTAAGGATGAGTAGGCACTTGCCAGGTGAAGGAGGAGGGAAGGCACTCCAGGCAGAGGGGAGGGCACGTGTGAGGCCTGGAGCCTGCAGAAAGCGTGGGGCGTTCGTGTGCAGCAAGAGAGAGCCAGTGTGGCTGGAGTGCGGGACAGGCTGGCTGGCGGCAACCAAGGCTCAGCAAAAAGCGAAGGCAGAGATCTGGGGAAGGTGACTTGTGTGTCATCGCCCAGCCCCCACGATGCCCATTTCTGGTCCTTTGTGGCCAGGCGGGGGTTCCCAGGTCCCCTCCCCTGCGCCTGCCTCCTCGGGCTCAGGGCTGCTCTTCGTGCTTCGTGGCCCTGCTGCTGCTGCTGCCTGGCTTCCCGGCCGCGCACCCAAGTGTGACTGTGACCTCTCTCCCCATCCCACCTGGCTTTACACAGCCAGGGAGGCTCCTGGGACACAGCTTGACCCTGGTGTGTCCTCACAGGAGCCAAAAGGTCAAAACCGCATGTCAGGCCCACGTGGGCTGGGAGGGGACAGGGACAGGCAAAGCTGCTCCAAAGCCTTGGGCAGGAAAGACGGAAGCAAGCGGGGGTGGGGGGAGGTGGGGGTGCAGGCAGAGCTCCTGACACCGCCCAGCTCTGGGGAAGCTCAGCACCTCCTGAGCACCCCCTGTGGCCGGGCTCCTTGGCACAGGCTCATCAGGCAGGGGAGGAGTGTGGGCCAGAGGAGCCGCTGGCAGGGGCTCCCGGCGTGGCAGGCTGGGGTGGCTGGGGGGCCACACTTGTTTGTGATGGCCATCTCCTGGACCACTCAGCAGCGGACTGAGCACAGGCAGGGCTCAAGCAACACAAGGGTGCAGACATTTCTTTCATGGGGAAAGAACTTTGGCCCAAGGGCAAGGCTACCATTCAAGGAAATAAGTTACCCCCAAGTCCCCTCAGCAGTCTTATTGTGCCCTATGGTCTCCTAACATTGGAGCTGGCTGCCACCGGGATGCAGGAGAGGCTTCCAGTCTCCGAGTAATGGTGTCAGGCCTGTCCTTGTCATTTGTGGGGCCTGGGGCAGAGAGGACAAAGGGAGGTCCCTGCCCCCTCCCTTTCTCTCCTGCCCCAGGCTCTCTCCTAAGCTCAGAAAGGCCTCCAGCCCACATGTCCAGGCTCTGTCCCTCCCTCCCCCAGGACCAGACGCCACTTGGCCATTCCTTGGCTGAGGATGTGGACAGGGCCAGGTGTGGCAGAGTGTGAGGTGCACACCCCCGTGGTCCCATCAGGGGCAGGACACCTGCGCCAACTCTGCACGGAACCTCAGGCTGTGTGCACAGGAGACGCAAGCTCCTGGTCCCCAGGCTGAGGCTCAGAAGTGTGGGGAGGGAGTTACAGTCTCGAGGGCCGTGTGGGTCTATGCATGGTACTGAATGGTATCCAGGATAAACTGAGGCAGCAGGCTGACCACAGGGTTTGTGAATGGTCCATCTCTGTTGAGCAGCCTCTGGGAGACAGGGCCTGAGACCTGAAGAAGGCTGGGGAAATGCTGATCACCCTGGGGTTGAGTCCAGACTCCATCCCCTGCTGGCCCTGGCTAAGTGGCCACAGGAACCTTGGTGTAAATTAGGAAAATGTGCTCCGATGAGAAAACTGTGGCTCGGCAAGAGGTATGCAGGCTGATTTCAGCCTCCATGGGTCCCCTTGTATAGGATGCAATCTTTAGGGCCACCCACAGGGGCCCTGAGTGTGGGACGCAGCCCCCATTTCCTGGCCAGCAGACGGGGATAATGTCTTTTGCGCCCATCACGAGTGGTCAGGAGGATCCGGTGGGGGTGGGGGAGCATGCTCTGTAGAGGTCAGCAGCTCGCAGACGTCAGCAGGTGCCTGCCTGCCCTCCGGTTGCCCTTAGTGAGCTGGGGAGGGGCGTGCTGCCATGTTGCATAAGAGGTTGACTCTAGGAAGCATGAAGAAGGTTCTGGAGCCACTTTCTTTTTTTTTTTTTTTTCCTTTTTGTCTTTTTTCATGTCTGGCAATGGATCGCAACCCTCAGTGTCGCGCCCGTACCGGACCGGGACCGGCAACGGGATTGCAACCCTCGGTGTTGCGCCCGCACCTCACTCAGCCAGTGAGCGGCCGGTCTGTATGTGGGATCCGAACCCTCGGCGGGAGCGCCGCCACGCTCCCAAGCGGTGCACTATAGCAGTGCGCCACCGGGCCGGCCCCTGGAGCCACTTTCTGCCTTAAGTTTGGTTTGTTATTATTTTTGAACAGTTAAACAAAAGTCGATAATGAGAAACTCTCAGATACCCCGTGTGTCGTGTGGCGAGGTTACGTTTCACTGTGAGTATCTACTGGACCCGGCGTGGTCCTGCTTCTCCTAGCGGTGCATTCCCAGGGACAGTCCGCGCTCCACCCACAAAGCCCACGGGTCTCTTGCAGGGGAGGGGAGGGGCACCAGAATGCTGGCTATGGCTTAGGAGGCAATAACCCAGAGTGAAACCTAGTAGGGAGGAGCAGAGGTCATGCGGTGTTTCTATGGTGGTGGCAGTGGAAAGGCATCCCTTCCAACAAGAAAAAAAAAAATAATAAAAATAAAACCTCTTCCTTGGCGGAGTCAGTGCCTTGATCGTCTGAGCAGCCCCACAGCACCAAGCACAGCTGGGTACACAGTGGTACTTTGTGGCCGTAACCGGCAGCACTGTGAGCCCTCAGGTGCCTGCCCTCCTGCAGGCCCCTCCATGCTGTCTCCTGAACACCCCCGGGATGAACAGCAGCATGACTCGGCACGTCACCACGTGAGCTCCAGCGTTAGCCTCACTTCACAGATGAGATACGTGCTCGGAGAAGTTAAGCAGCTTGGCTGGGGTCACACGGCACGTCCGTGACTGAGCGAGGAACTGAACCAGGGATTTCAGCTGCAGAACCTTGTGTGGTTCTGTCCCCACTAAGTGGCGGGTGGGAAGATGGATGAACTTGCTGAGCTCACCCAGGGTGGATTTGGCATGTTAGGGTGGGTATGGCTTAGGGGGTCTGGGGGTGTCAGGAGAGGAGAGGAATGGGTGGGTGGGAGGGGAGGGAGGGGAAGGCCAGGGAAGCCCTGCCAGCTGCCCGGGCGCCCGCAGGGCAGGCCGGCCGTGCTCCAGCGTCCCTGCCAGCACTGGCACAAGAGCGTCTTCCTTGCAGCTCGTCCTGAGTTCACAGCCACAGGCTCCACAGCCTGTCTCTGTCCCTCCACCCTTCCTTTTCTCAACCCCGATGCTCCGACTGTCCCTGCACGCCTGTGAGCTGCTCCCTGTGCCTGCACACACAGCCATGTGCAGCGAGGCCTCCAGCCTCTGGCCTTTGCTCCCGCCGTCCCCTGCCAGGAGTCCCCTGCCCCCAACCCCCACTGTGTTCTGTTTACTGGCTGCTTCACCACCAACGCTCAGCTCAGGCATGGCCTCCACGACACCATCCCTGAGCCAGTGCTGACGCAGGCGCTTGTCGCGGGCATCCTTGGTTCTGACCTCCCTCTGATGCCGGTTCTCACTGCTCAACTCACTCCTCGGGACCACGTCTGCTCTGATCCTTGTTTGCCCTCCTGGCTCTGACCTGTAGCTGCTCCTGTGCACCATGGTGTGAACTGAGCCTGCCCCGCCAGCCTCTAGGCCCTGCAGACTCATGGCTGCCCAGTCCTTCTAGGAGTGACCCCCTATATCTTGGTCTGGCAGAAACCAGTAATGAGAATTCCAAAGACTCTGTAGCTTCTGCTCCTAGAGCCCCCCATGAGAATGATCCCATTTCAGAATATGCCAGACTAGACCCTAAGCATAGAAGGAACCAGTGTGTGAAGCACAGAATGGGACCCAAACATTAATCTTTCCCCCCTACCATGTATCAAAGTGTTTTTTTTTTTGTTGTTGTTTTTGTTAATTCTTTAATGGAAAAGTTTGCACTAGAAGCAAAGTTGGATACTTTCTAAAATTACAGATTCAAAATAAAGCTGGAGGGCCGGCCCGGTGGCGCACTGGATAGTGCGCCGCTTGGGAGGCGCGGCGGCGCTCCTGCCCTAGGGTTCGGATCCCACATACAGACCAGTTCCCGCTCACTGGCTGAGCGAGGCACGGGAGCAACATGGTGTGAACTGAGCCTGCCCCGCCAGCCTCTAGGCCCTGCAGACTCATGGCTGCCCAGTCCTTCTAGGAGTGACCCCCTATATCTTGGTCTGGCAGAAACCAGTAATGAGAATTCCAAAGACTCTGTAGCTTCTGCTCCTAGAGCCCCCCATGAGAATGATCCCATTTCAGAATATGCCAGACTAGACCCTAAGCATAGAAGGAACCAGTGTGTGAAGCACAGAATGGGACCCAAACATTAATCTTTCCCCCCTACCATGTATCAAAGTGTTTTTTTTTTTGTTGTTGTTTTTGTTAATTCTTTAATGGAAAAGTTTGCACTAGAAGCAAAGTTGGATACTTTCTAAAATTACAGATTCAAAATAAAGCTGGAGGGCCGGCCCGGTGGCGCACTGGATAGTGCGCCGCTTGGGAGGCGCGGCGGCGCTCCTGCCCTAGGGTTCGGATCCCACATACAGACCAGTTCCCGCTCACTGGCTGAGCGAGGCGAGGGAGCAACACCGAGGGTTGCGATCTCGTTGCC